TGGGAAGCCTCTGTCTAAAGTGTTTAACAGCCAAAGGATTCCCTTTCTAAGAAGCTCAAACCTACAAAAATTACTGCTAAAAGAGCTGCTAAAGGTTCTGCACCCAAGAATATTGAGGCAAGTTGAGCTGCCATTTCATTTTCCAGTAACGCTGTACCTTCCCACACTGCCAGAAGAACCAAGACCTCCGTTAATGACCGTGATTTTAATACACCGCAAAAAGTTTTGATGAGATCCAGCAGCCAATAAAGCGACCAGTTGAAGGCTGCTGTTGAAGCCTCCTCAGTTCGGGCCATCAACGCCTCGCTGCAATGGTGCAGATGAAGACGTACCCTGAAAAGGACACAGACATTTAGTAGGCCAACATTTTCAAATGGCTCTTTTATTAAAAGACTACTTTCAGAACAACTAAGATTTCATCAATTATAAAAGTTAAAAAGAGATGGGTACATCTAAAGTGTGGCATGGGATAGAATGGCGTCTAGATTTGAATTACTAAAATAAATCCACATTTGCTAGAAATGCTTGAATGTCATTGTGTTGATTTATCTGTATTCAAACAGTTTCTCAATGCATCAACGGCTGTTTTCTGAACCTAAACATGGCTTCTTTGTTTCTCAGCTCCAAAGCATGTTCAGTCCTGAAGAGTGTTTAACCCGACATGGAGAACTGTCCATTCGACCCAGGGAGGATGTAACCGTCCACCTGCTCTTTGCTCCGACCAGGGTGGCCTGCATGTTGGCCAAGCTGGAGGTGAAGCAGTCCGGGGTTCGGTCTTCACAACCAGGAGTTAAATTCATTGTAAGAATGCTACTGTTATCACTTTGCAATACTCTCTGCCTTCTGTTTCAGAGGTTATTAGCCACCAAATTCTTCATTGTTTGAAATAGAAAGTGTTTCTAGAAGCCAGTTACTTTCGCTGCCATGTTGCACCCTGCATATTTATCTATGCATGTCTCCAGCAACCCTGTCATCTAAAATCTGTTCTTTGTTCACTGCTCTGCATACATGAACACA